CATCAGCAGTCGCCTCCAGGGGACATACAGGCACTTGAACTTGTCGGTGACTCCAGTGTCTCAGCTGATTCAAGATAGGCGGGGAATATGCTAATTGTGAATGTGCATGCATGCGTGCCCTATTTACGAATGATTGGAATTCATTAACATACATACATTTAACTATCAAATCTGACCTTTACGAAGTATTTGTGAATCCGGAGGAGAGTTTTCGGGAAGGTCCGTTTTACGCGTAAATTACTCAGAATTTACTCATATATTTACAAATGTTTCATGAATGAGGCACATTGTGTGTATATCCCATGAAATGATGCACATTCTACCCCATTGCCATTTAAAGAGCAATTTCATCTGACCTTGGAGAAGAAAAAGTTCTGTAAAGAGTGACTGGGTGACTGCTATTGGTTTTCCATCACCCCCCCCGCACAGCAGATGCTTTTTATCCAAAGCTACATAGAATACACAAATAGGAGGCTCAGTCCGCCGTGAACAGGCTGTAGTTAAGAGCTTTGCTCAAGGGCACAGTGGTGCCGAGTAAAACTGTAATCACAGTAGCTCTCCCGATCCTGAGGTTCCCCTTCCTGAGATTGAAACCGTAACCTTTGAGTTAGTAGCAGAGATTCCAAACCCCTAGATTACAATATACTACTTGCCTTTCACTATAAGTCATGAGCTTTCTGGGGGTTTTTTTAAGAACGAATCTATATTATGGACCCATTTGGGTCATCATGCTGAGCAAAGCCATGTTCATCAGTGCGCTTGTGAACATTTTTATAGAGCTATTGTATAAAACCCATCTTTTTACATCATCAGACCATTCAGAAAGTTGACATTTCTTTGCTTAGGGCCTGAAAATACTGTTTTTCTACAACTGTATCTGTTAGCTTATGTTTTGTCTCGGGCATCAGAATGCTGGAGGTATTCCACAGATTACGTGCACTATCTTGTAAACTGTAGCAATGAGGGGGGCCAGCCTTCACCATAGCAACCGGAAATGGTTGCTTGGATACAGGTTTGAATAGAAAGTATGGTATGAATGCATCAGCAGTCGCCTCCAGGGGACATACAGGCACTTGAACTTGTCGGTGACTCCAGTGTCTCAGCTGATTCAAGCTGACCCAGCATGAGGTGGTGTTGGTGCGGTCCAACAGAAATGGCCTTGAATGTGCACTTTCATACTGAGATTGCTTTGATTTTTCCTTCATATTCAGAGTCCTAAACACAGCAGTTAGGCCTACATGCAGATGCAGTATAGACTTTTTCTCCACAATAGATTTGTTTATATAGTCCCACTTGAAGCAAGAGACACAGTTTACCTTCAAGACAATATGGTTAGGTGGTTATGGAATCAGGTGAATCAATATTTCACCCTGCTAGGTATGTTTATAATTGGATTACAAATAGTGAAATCATTTCCAATTGGTTCCAAAGAGTTTGACAATTCTAGATTCTCTACTAAATCTTTGGTAACTCTGATTTAGTAGAGATAACCCTGAACTGAACCCAACACCAGTGATATGCATCCAACCAGCATCACAATTGATTCATATACCCATATTATAGAGGGTAAAATTTAGAGTTGTGTAATCCTCAAGTCTTAAAAAGCATTGGCAACATTGACAACAGAAACACGTGCTGTAATAGTCCAGGTTAACGTCAGGTCCTTGGGTCATGAGAAAGTTGTTGTGTTGAGGGATTGTGAAGGCTCATTCCAGTGCCATGATGATGGACGGGCAGACTTCCAATTAAATTTGCAGAGAAAACATGCACTACCTTGAGGAATAGTGTTGCGATTCTGTGCGCTTTCTGATATTTATCAAGGCTATTGCTTTTTCTTCTGTTTGCCGGAACACAATTCACCTCAAATTAGGTCCATTTTAGCTGAAGTTTCGGAGAAGAAAAGTCCTTTTACCAATCTCGCCGCTCCATAAAAAGTCCTCTTCTGGTTCTTTTGTCAAGCTCACCCGCCTTCCTTTGCCTCACTTTCTTTTTTCCTCTTTTTTCCCTTTTGCCTTGGCTGTCCTTTTTTCGGCGGAGCGGTTGGTAAGGTGTTGTGGTGTTGGCGAAGGCGTCTTTTTGGCACAGTCACAGGGCACTGTTAAAAGAAGGCAGACTGGCACCTCCTGGACCCATGCCAGAGCTCCTCGGGAGAAATACCAACTGCTGTGGTTGGTGTGTGAGAGAGAGATAGATAGAACAGAGAGAGAGAGAGAGAGAAAGGCATTATGGGAAGGTGAAGGGAGGAGGTTGGGGAGTGGTAGAGAGAGAAAACACTAGGTTTGTGGTGCCAGAGCTTTTGTGGATGTTGGTTGTGTTGGCGTGTTCTTGGCCAGGTTCACTTTATTCCAGTTTGTTTGTTACGTTATTTTTTTCACTCTTCACTGGATAGAACGGCTGTGTTCATCTGCTGCCAAAAGACACGAAGGAATGAAAGACAAAAAACGTGCAGATCCATATTTCCGCTGCTCTAATCTGTTGCGCATCCCTCTCTTTTATTCCTCTGCCCATTCCTGTCTTCATCACTCACTCCGAATATTCATTTGTCCTCCATTTCTCACCTTCTTTATTTGGAAAATGTGTTTTTTCCCCTTTTCTTTTCAGATCCTCCCTCGCAGAAATTAGAAATGGCATAATTGTATGCTTGGCTGGCAGGTCAGTGCCAGGTGGTCTGTTCGAACATTGTGAGATTTGGCAAATGTGACTGCAAAGGTGTGTATGTGTGTGTGATGCACAAGTCCTCACCCCGACAAGAATAAAGAAAGCTTTGCTTGTCAAGGTGACAAAACAAGCTGCTCTTTTTATCTTGATTTGGTAGCATGGCTTTTGTCTGCCTGCTTGTCTTTGTCTCTCAGTTGTTTGCTTGTCATCTCATTTCCTTGTATGTTAAGCAGCGTTCTTGTTGTTAAATGTGCTCAATGTGCAAAACAGGTTAAAGTTTCGCAAAAGAAACCAATGCACTTTGTGCTTTAATTCTGACCGGTGTACTCGCCACAGTGCCTGTGAATAATACAATTCTGTGAGTCAACTAGTTGTCTGACATGTGGCTAGTGAGATTGGTGTATGTAGGGGTTTATTGTATTTTAGTTAGCATGCTGCGCTTTAGCTGTTATCTGCACAATAAAACCCTCTTAGGGAGTTTTTGCTACTTTAAAGTTCCTTTTAAAGCACTGCTGTAACAGACAGCAATACATCTTTGTCCATTGCATCACACACCTAACTGTGCTTTTTTTACTTGAGCGTCTTGTCACAAGGGTTGCATTTTAAAGACGCTGGCCTTGTTTTCACCTGGTATTAAGATGTGATTTCTGTGATCACAAGTGGTCAGCCGAGGCTTAAACTGTTTTTAACCATTTCAAATGTGCCTCCTGTGACCAGTGCTGTTTTGATTTCCTTGAGACACTTCCCTCTTATTTCTTCACACTCTACATTCTTCCCACAAATACTGTTGACTGAACAAATCCATGTTATGCGATTACAGGCGATTGGGAAATGAAGCAAATGAAAATTATTTAAAAAGCAGTCCTTGTGTTTTCAGCTGATTGGATAAAAGTCTTTTGCGTCTGTTCAAACATATTTGACCACATGAGCATCTAAACTATAAAAACAATCCGGTTGAATGCATTTTCGTCTACCTCAAAACATTTTAGATGCCTTTTACACTTGTATTTAGCGTCATCTACTTTAACACAGGGCCTGTGTTAAAATGAATTTTAGCTCAATTTATTTTTTTTTATTTTAAAATGCTAAATTTTGTTACATTCCATTGTGCTATATCTAGCTGTTTTTGAATGCAAAACCCTATGAATAAAGTATCTGATCGGGGTCATATGAATCCAAAACCAGCCCAATTATTCAGGAACTCCATTTAGTCGACTAGTGATTTAGACAACCAACTGACTAGTAGATTTTGTATATCCATAGATTCTGTTTTTATATATACTGAACAAAATGAGATATGCTTGCCCTTGCAAAATGCTATTGCTACAGTGTTCTGGGTTCTTTATTACTAACCTAAGTAAAAAGCGCCCATCTCCAAGTCTCTATTATATTCTAGTTTCTAGATATGGCTCAGGTCCCTCCTTCAGTGTGAGTCCATTTATGCCCGTCAGGAAAAAAGTCTAATTGCTAATTGCTTAGAAAAGTAATAGCACACCTCTCCTTAGCAAGCCCACAAGATTTAAGGTATCATTCATGTCTAAAGCACAAGTAGTGCAGGATATGTTACATGCCAAAGTTTAATACTTTGCTACGCTAGGCTAACTTTCAGACCAAGCTTTTGCAATTGGTAATGGACAGATTTTCAGTATTAAGGTCTTTATCGTATATAGTTTAAACTTTAGGGAGATTAAAGGGGGAATGAGGTGCAGATAGCCCTAAATACACTATTGTGTGTGTTTGTTTGTGGGGCCATGACACATTTCTTCATCCATATGCTAATACCAGTGCACTGTGTGTAAACCACTATCCTTTGCTGCCTGGAGATTTAGGTGGTAAATCACTTCAGTCTTCTTAGCTCTAATCCTCCCCACATCTGTGCCCCTTTTCTCTTCCTCTTTACTGCTCTAATTCCAGTATGGCACAGTTGGCCTCATCCATCCAACTCGGGAAACATTTTGTTTGTCCATCCTTTTTCACCCTTGTGGCCTAATCCACTGCAGGTTGTTCCACAGGGCTTTCAGAGAGCTGATGTTGTCTCCTTTCGATGCATTCGTGTCACTAGTGGTTTGTGACCTTCTCTGGATGGTTTAGAGGTGTGTGTGTGTGTGTGTGTGTGTGTGTTGGGTGGGGGGAGGTTCAGCAGTGTAATCTGCTAAGTGTCTCCCACTGCAGAAACAGCAGCACTGATTCAGTTTAGCCTGAGCAGACCAGGCAAATCTGCAGTAATCTTTGCCACAGAACCCAGTCTGACAGTCCCACCATCTGGAACAGCGCCACTTCGTGCATGCGTACACCCCATTATTACAGAACGTTTATATTGCTGTCTTTCTCTGTTTCTGCAGCAAAGCACGCAGCAAATGGGAACCCCACAGTGGAGCCATTTCCTGATGGCATGGAGATGATCATGTTTGGTGAGTTTGGAAAGGATCATATTCCAGACTTTCTTAGGTACAATTAACGTATTGCTTCCTAAAGTACCACTTGTGTCAGAGTGGTGGCCCATGGGAGACCTGGGTTGAAGTCCAGCCTGTTCCAATCTCATTTCTCCATCTCTCCTCTTGACTTCTTGTTTTCAAGTGCCAATAAAAATGTGGCTAAAGGCTAATTTAAATGAATCAGTTGAAATGTCAATGACTACGTTTACATTGACATCAGTAATCTAATTATTGACCTTATTCGGAATAAGACAATATTATAATTAAGTTGTTTACTTAAGTTGCTTTTGGAATATTCCTTTCATGTTCCCACGCGACGCCATCCGACGACCACTGCAGAATTTCACATATCAACATATAGTTCGTCTTCGTTATGGTGCCATATACAGTTCGGGGTGTTTCATTTTCAATTTTCCGAAAGCTTCAAGTGCAGTTAATTATTTGCCATGCTATATGTGCAAATAGACAACAGACTGTTGAAGCCATGCTCTTTTGTTTGCCGTCAAATGGTTGACCACTGCCGTGTGTGTATCCTGTTGCAAAATGTGGCGAAAAGTCCTACACAATGGTATGTGATTTAGGTGTGTACATAGGGGTTGAACAACTTCTGATTTTTTAAAGTCGAGTCGAAGTCGACTAGTCGCTGATGACGTCATTAATGAACAAATAAGTCTGGAGCTGTGACAAACACCTTGTGCACAGCTATGGCATATGACACAGTGCTGTCCACATGGCTATTGCTCCTATAACAGCTCATTTTTATCACTTCTTTTGTCTTTGGGTCGTTATATTTCTCACAGATTTCTGCTCGTTCTAAATCAGGTACAGATAAAGTAGCACAGTAAAGATTACTAATAGTGAGACCGCTTGCGTGTGTGAATTAATTCTACCTGGCAGTGTCTCTCTACTAGTAGTGAAGCTGTGGGATTTAGTTATTAAGAAATATATGCTTGAACTTTTCAGTTTCTAAGCTATTTTATTGAGAAATCACAGAACAGTGTTGACAATACATTTCCGCGCTGAATGATTCTGTGCACGCGCGATGTGTGCGTGATGTATAAGCTTCTGCCTGTAGCCTACGTGTGTGCGTTACAGTGCAGCAGCGCATTAGATTAGAACGGCGATTAACTTACCTGTACAATAAGCTGTTTAAAACGTGCATTCTCCTGTTCAATTTCGAGCATCCAGTAATATAATCACACATGTCTTGTGGAGCGCTTTCAGAGTATGCATTTATTTGTCATTTTAACTGTTTGGAAACGGAGCGTAAATGTGGAAGTCCTTCAAAGATTTCTTATCCTGTTGCGCCCTCTATAGGACCAGTGACTAGTCGACGTCAAGCTTAAAGCGTCATGGCAGAGCATTGAAGTCCACTAGTCGATTAGTTGGTGCAACCCCTAATGTCTATACTGCACTTCAATAATGCGACTAAAATAGGGATACTCCAAGTCTTAATTGATTTGTGATTACTTTGATTACGACTTTTCTGAAAATTTCTGTTTACAGGTAGATTGTTAATCAGAGTATTGTCTTAATCATGTTAAAATGGGAATATTGTTGTCCATGTAATCGTACCGAGTGTCTAAACATAGTAGTTCTGTTCCAAGACCTAGCGAGCTGCCTACATAGACAACTACCTAGCATCCTAACTGAAATTGCTCACCAAGGCTGCATTTGATCAAAACACAATAAAAATAGTGATATTTAAAAATATTACTATTTAAAATAAGTTTTTCTCTTTTTTTAATCTATTTTAAAATGTAGTTTATTCCTGTGAATTTTCACCAGCCATTATTCTTCATTGTCACATGATTCTTCAGACATCATTCTAATATGCTATGCATTCTGTTTTGGTGTTTAAGAAACATTTCTTAATACAAAATCAGTGTTATATCAGTTGTGTTTTGTGGAAACCATGCTACATTTTTTTTCAGGATTCTTTGATTGAAAGTTCAAAAGAACAGCACTTATGTGAGATAGGAATCTTTTGTTAATGTATCCTCGCTGAATAAAAGTATTAATTTTTTTAATTCTTTCAAAAAAATCAAATAAAAAATTACTTACCTCAAACTTTTGTGCTCCACATAGGCCACAAGTTTCTCAAAAGGTCCCAAACATGTGTAAGGCCATTTCACACAAAGCATCAAAAGCTTGCAGTTGATTCCAGTTGAGATTGATGTGTGATAGACTAATACGCACAAAAAATATGTAGATGGATACTGGTTGCAATTAGATGAAGGTTAAAAGAATGAGATGCAAATATATTATTTGTCTTTATCACTGAGCTTTTCAAATTGTGGGTCTGTCTTGTTTTGCATAGATTATGAGTTTTGGGGAAAAGCTTTTGTTTTGACAGGGTCACAGAGTATCAACAGGGTCTGAATTTGATTTTTTTTTAGTATGTAAAAATATATTAATCAGCAGAAGCATTAAAGATGTCAAACTGACGTAGTTAGGAAGGGCTTTGTGGAAGAAGCAAAAAGGACATTTTGTTAAAATTTCTGTCTGTGTTGAGTGATTTATCCGCAAAAGATTACATTTTTCGTATTATTATTGCTATTTGATGTCTCTGTCCCATTTCCTTTCAGGAATGGGCTGTTTTTGGGGAGCAGAGAGGCGCTTCTGGAGGATTCCTGGTGTGTTCTCTACACAAGTGGGCTACGCTGGGGGCTTCACACCTAACCCTACCTACCATGAAGTGTGTTCAGGTTAGTCCCAGCCACACAAACACAGCCAATCAAATACAGATATGCATGTAGACACATGCCCAAATACATTTTTCCCACTTCCTTTTCGCCGCTGCATGCTTGTTCACCTCCCATATCAAAGAGGTCTCTGATGACACTTTTCCCAACCGTAAGTCACAAACACTAGAGCAGCAGCAGCTTCACTGCACCCAGATTAGTGCTTCACTGCAGCCTTCACCAAAACATTCCCTTCATCTGCAGTGAACTGCCCAGAGTGCACTGCTCTCTCCCAGATCCGCAGCCCGTCCCCCCTTCCTCTGTATGACCTACTTGTAGCCAGACAGTTCAGAAGAGATGAGATGGAGGGAGGGATGCAGCTGTGATGTTGCAGTTTCTGAACTGGTCCCAGTGAGAAGGTTCTGACTGCAGCTCTGCAGAGGGTTTGCTCTCTCCAAACACTCACAGAGGCTCTTTTAAGTGTGTAGTGTGGAGAAGACTTGCGGCTGTCAGAATTCCGTTGAGTGTTGGGGTTAATATGTAGACAGGCTTTGTTATTTGTAAGAGTAGCAAATGCGTATGCAGATACAATTTTACACAATTGCTTATGAAAGGTTTCGTCTTTGAGTACCAGTTAAAAGTTTGGACACATTTGACAGAATGGTTCTTATGATCTGAAAACCTTCTTAAACTTTATGCTTAAATGTAGTTTTGTATATAATTTTAAATTGTGCCTGCGTTTTGTGGCTGAAATCGTTCCTGAATTTCTTTACAAAACCATTTTAAATGTTTAAGCCTTTGTGGGCTCTACTCCAGTATAGTTTAACATCATCCCAGGATGCACCTGATAAAGTTGGATGAGAGAAGTTTATCTTCATCATAACAACATGAAACAGACAAACACATACACTTAAACTACAGTTCAAAAGACAGTAGGTTTTTCATTTTTTGAAAGAAGTCTCTTACTTTCATGAAGGCTTGCATTTAGTTGATCAAAAATACAGTAAAACAGTAATATTGTGAACTATTATTACAATTAAAAAATCTGTTCTCTATTTGATTATATTTTAAAATGTAATTTATTCCTGTGAAGGCAACAATGAATTTTCAGCAGCCATGATTACACCAGTCTTCAGTGTGACATGATCCTTCAGAAATCATTGTTATATGCTGTTGGTGCTCAAAAAACATTTATTAATATTTTTTTAGTATTCTTTGATGAATAGAAAGTTCAAAAGAACAGCATTTATTTGAAATAGAAATCCTTTGTAACAATATATACATGTCTTAACGGTCATTTTTTAAGATCAATTTAATGCATCATTGCTGAATAAAAGTGTATGTGTTGCTATTGCTACATTCATGAGGTTGGTAATATTGCTAAAAATAATTTTTAATATTTTCTAACAGTATTTTAATAATATTTAAACATGTTTTACAATATTTGAACAACAACTTAATATCTGAGTAAAAGATTCATTCAAATCTTTAATGTTCCTTTTCTAATGCCTGAGTTTAATGTATGCTGCAAAATCACAGAACTTTTGCACAGCTCTATTTGTGCATGATCTAATTTCTTTTTGTGCTGTTCTCTCCAGGTTTAACAGGGCACACGGAAGTACTGCGAGTGGTCTTCTCTCCTAAAGACGTCAGCTTAGAGAAACTTCTCAAAGTCTTCTGGGAAAGCCATGACCCCACTCAAGGTAAACAAACACACCTATTCCCTCACATCTACACACATGCACTCACACAGATGTCCATAGAAAGACCCCTGGGTGCGAGGTGCAGTGGCCCAAAAGCAAACAGCCTCATGAGGTTAAAACACGGCTGCATCTGCGTGTTCACGCTGCCCTGTGCATGTGTGTGTGTGTGTGTGCTGGATGGTCAGGATGATCTCGCAGGAATTGGAACAGCCTCAGAAAGGCTATGTTAATGTGTCTGAGACCAATTCAACCATGAGAGGAAAAGAGACATCGCGTATGTATGTGCATTAGTGCAAGCGTCACCTATTCCTCCAGTCCACTAGAAACAGAACCAATACTGGACACACAGCTGATATTTGCTGTCTGTGCTGTCCTTCAGGTCCTCATTTGAGAATAAATCAACCTTGCTGTCTGCCTGCAATCCAGCACTAAGCTTGAGAAACACAGAAGAAAAATTACAGAAAAATTAATTCACTCCATTCAGTTAATTGTTTGAGCTGAGGTGTGTTTTTGATCCCAGATCTATCTATCTATCTATCTATCTGTGGCTCTGTCTCTCTATCCTACTATCTACCCTCTGTTTCTTATTTAGACTGTTTGTCTATCTATCTGCCTATCTATCCTTCTGTCTCTCAGTTTACCAACTGTCTGTCTGTCTATCCCTCTGTCCCTCTGTTATTCGCTGTTTGTCTCTCTGCCTATACACATATCGATACTTCTGTCTCTCAATTTGTCATTCCAACTGTCTGTCTGTCTGTCTATCTATCTATCATCTATCTATGTATCCTTCTCTCTCTGTTCATCATTCTGACTGTCTGTCTGTCCGTCAGTCTGTCTGTCTATCAGTGGCGGCTGGTCGGGGGAGGAAGGGGAGGCACAGCTTCCCCATAATTTTGAGGTGAAAATGGGAGGAGGGAGGGACGATTTAATGTTAATAAAATTCACAATTCATTTCAGTTCATGTCTCAGAATGTGTATTTTTTGTTTGTAATTTCACAGTTGTAATACCATAACGTGAAAGCGCCACTTTTCTATCGCGAATGTGCCCAATCTGCTGATGTAATTACAACCGCAAGGTGATATAGAAGGGTAGGGGGAGGCCGGGGGAGAGATGAACCCTCCTGCCTCCGTTGGTAAAAAAAAAAT